GTCCCATGCTTGATCAGGTTCCCAAGTGTCCCTGCCAGTTCCTGGTGATTTGTACAACGTAAAATCCTATGGGAACTGAACCTTTCCTTACAGCCAGGGGTAGTCTTAAGCAAATATTAATCATAATGCAGATGCTGTCTTTCTCTGAGTCTCCTGTCTCCTCCACAGGAATGGGTGGCTGCAGCATCCTCTGGGGGTTTCTGGCAGAGGCCTCCTGAGCTCCCTCAGCTGCTGGCTGAGGAACTCACTTTGCCTGCATGTCCAGGCCTGTTCTTGGGTTTGATTTGAAATGTAGGCTCCGGGGCTCATGCAGGAGACCCAGGGCTCAACTCTTCCCAGGCCGGATTAGCTTTTCCTTCCTTGGAGAGCTGCTGAGACATGGGTTTCCACAGTCACGGAGGATCCCAGCACATCCTTGGAGCTGGCTCTGAGCCTCCAAAATCTGTTTTGCAACATTTCCTGGGCCCTGGCTATTCCGGCTCACCAAGACCAGACTTGTAAGGTGTGGGGGCTACAGAAGCACTCTTTGTACCATTAGAGTGAGAGGCATGGTTCCCCCAGCCACGCTCAGCCAGCTAGTATCAGTTCTGGCTGAGGAACTGGGCTACGGCAAACTGGCCATGAGCTCTGTCGAGAGGGTTGGCGAAGCTTGAGGCAGGACCCTTTCCCTAACTGCTTCCTTCTCAGACTCCAGCATCTCTGAACCTGCTGCATCAGACCCCAGCATGAAGTCTGCTTATTTTCCAGATCTAGATTAATAGCATCTGGATGTCATTATCACAACAGCTAGCATTAGTGCTGATTCCCCTGCCAGAGTATCTTCCAAGTCCTTACAGATACCCACTCATTTGGACCCTACTAACATTATGTGGCATATTATCCCCACTTAGCAGTCAGGGAGCCTAAGGCTTTATGAGGAATTAAGGTCCCTTGCCCAAGACCACATAGCTGTTCAATATTACTCTGGCCTCTGGATTGAGGTGGCCAACTGGCCAATGTTCATGAATGCTGTAACATCTGTTAACATCAGGGTTACTAAGACACCAGTGGTAGAGCCATGTGTGATGGCGTATGCCCATAATCCCAGCACTTGGAAGGCAGAGGCAAGAGGTACGGGCCTTCAAAGCCACCCTTAGCTACACAGTGAGTTCAAGACTAGCCTGGACCACATTAATCTTGTCTTAAACAGCAACAACAAAATGCTAGTGATTCAGAGCCCCCATAAAAGACATCCACCTATAGTGACTTATGAATTTTCTAGCCAGTCTTCAGTCTAGCTGGACAACTGTGGGTCTCACTCACCCTGTCCCTCTGTTCCCACATCAGCTTTCTGCATCTTAGGTCAGACACTGGTGCCGATGGTGGGACTTGGGTGCTAATTTACACACGGGTCTGGTAGAGGGTAACCTTGACACAGGAGTTAAGAACTCCACTTAAAATCAGGCAGGCCGCGGAGTAGATAATACAGGTCCCGCCTGCCTCCATCCCGTAGGACTGTGGATGGTTTCAGCTCCTAGATTGAAGTCGGAGGTCTCTTGGGCAGAATGCCCTTGATCCAGAGACAAGCTTCCTTTCTTAGGCTGTTGAGCCCTACATATCTGTGGTTGGTGTCCATAAGAGTCAGAGCCTATACCAGGCCACCATCTCCTTCCCCCTCCAGACAAGATGGGGAGGAGTGCCCTGAGGTGCTGTCCTCCAGATGTGGCGTGGCTGCTGCACACATGAAGGACATGGTATAGTGGCTGACATGAACCCACAGCAGCTATAGTTGCCAAACAAGACCTGCGCAAAATTAAACATGGAGGGCCAGTTGTGGTGAACATACCTTTAATCCCAGAACTCAGGAAGCAGAGGAAGGTGGATCTTTGAGTTCAAGGCCAGCCTGGTCTACAGAGTGGGTTCTGGGATATCCCGGGCTACACAGGAAAATCTCTCTCTCTCTCTCTCTCACACACACACACACACACACACACACACACACTTCAGAAGAGAGGAAGGAGGGACTCTCAAGGCCTTATCCCTAGCTGAGGAACTATTGACAGTTGGTGGGGGCCGAGGGAGAGTCACTTTGTGAGTATGGCCACTGGTAGGTTCCTCGGGCTCCAGGGGATGACCTAGTACTCATGGGCGGGCACTAAGGACTCAGTGAGTAAACAGATAAGTAAAAAGGAGGACATGAAGTTGGTGGGGGAATTTAAATGTGATAGCAGGGTCCTGGGGAGACTGGAGGGGACAGTGAAGGGTGGAAATAACTAAGATATATTGTGCTGCATGAGAATGTCAAAGAATATATAAAAATAGAACATTTTAAAAGACTTTGAGAAACAGGGAAATCAGACTTGCCTTCTAAGATGAAATTCAGATCTCATAGCTAGATAGGAGTTCGAGCCTGGAGAGAAAATTGCACGGCTGCAGTTCAGTCATCTTGTGGGCGAGAACTGGCTCTTGGATTTTCTCGCTTCTGCTTTCTGTCTGGCAGCAGGAGAGCACACATCTCAGGGAGCAGAGTTCGAGGCTAGCCTGGGCTACCCAAGTGCTGTCTCCAACAACAAGTTGCATTAATTAATTAATATATACAATTAAACAGTAAGTGAAAGCTTTAGAGGGTACCCACTCCCTCCAAAAGTGACCACCTACTCATGTGGTGGCCTTGAGCGGTGATTCTGGGACATCCCTTCTTCAGTCTGAGAGCGATTACACAGGTTCCCTACAGCAGTGTATGACCCGGTTTTAAAGTCTGGTCTCCACCTCAGTTATTGGGGAGAAGCATGTCAACACTCTCCTTTCCTCTCCTCTCTGGGTGCCCCGTGCCCCGCCCCGCCCCCCCCATCTCCTGGAGCATGCTATTACAGCCTGTTTGTAAGCACAGAAGCCGAGAGCGGTAATTAGGGACTTTCCTCTAAGGAGTCAGGACAGAAGTCACAGGAGCGCCAGCCGAATTTATAGTTTGGGTAGCAAGTAAGAGTGCAGTGTGCTTTCCGGGAAAACTTACATTGTAGCCAATGCCTAGAAGGGTGGGGAGGCGGACAGTGGTCTGGATGTCGGGGCCTGGTGAGGAGAACCCAGCAGCAAACAGGGGAATAGCTTTTAGGGGGTGAGCAAATAAACTCTCCGAGATTATAGCAGAGCTGGCTCCACAGGTTTACATCTTCTACATTGTCTCAGCTCAAACCTGGAAGCGAGCCCAGGGTACAGCACCAGGGCCTTGCGTGACACTGCCAGTCTGGGTGACTGAAGAGCAATTGGGTTCACACCAGGGGTCAGGCTTCAGTACAGCCACCTTGAGGGGAAGCCCCCTAAACTATAGGCTTCATGAGGCTTAACAGAAAAAACTGGGGACCAGTTGTCCTCAAGTTGGTTTGTGGGCCCCATGGATATCAGTGCCCCAGTTTTGTTCTGGCCTTCTGTGCTGTTATTCCTAGCTATGGCTTCCCCCTCATGGTCTAGGCTATTGTTGGGGTGCTGGCTCTCACACATCACCCCAGAGGTCCCTTTAGCTCTGTGACTCGACTCCATTGTCCTTGGCTTGGCCTCAGAGCAGCATCTTACAATGAGGAATGTTATGTTGGTATGAATGGTGGCACCCACAGGTGAAATAAAACCGCCGATGACTGGAAGAAGAGAAAAATCCCCACAGCCAAGCAAAGCTGCAGAAGCCTCATTCTGGGATCTTTGTTCCTGCGGCTTTACTGAGTTCTTGAGGTGTTCAGGCCCTGCCTGAGGCCCTGCTCTGGGGAAAAGGTTGACAGAGTTCATTTCCCATGAAACATAGCGTCCAGCAGGAGCTAAACAGATAATAGACGACCATCAGTTGACAGGCTGCCTTTTATACATGAATCTTCAGATGTAGCTTTGCATAATTAATGCCAAGAGCTGCCGGTGCCAAACACCACTGTGTGAAGCCCATAAGCGTCCTAGACAGCCAGCCTTGCTCATCTTTGATATAAATTCCATCCATCAAAAGTCCCTCACCAGGCCTCGTGGCTCACACCTCTAAGCCCAGCAAAAGCTCCGCTGTGATACAGAGGTCAGCCCGGATTATGTAGTGAGTTCTAGGCCAGCCTGGGTTACAGTGTGAGACCCAAACAAAGCGAATGAACCGAAAATGCTCGGTATCAACCTCAGGAACCTACATGCACACACGTGTGCATCCATCCGCATGTAAACTCAAGCATTCTTTCATATACAGAACATAAGCAGGAGAGTCATCTATAACTCAAGGGCTGGGAAGGTGGCGCAGCCGTTAAGAGTTCCCAGCACCCATCTGTGCTCATAATCATCTGTAACTCTAGTACCTACCTTGTCTGACCTCCAGTCATGTGATACACAGACAAAAATGCAGGCGAAACACCCATACAAATACAATTAAAGCAAATAAAAGCTTTTAAAAAAGAAATCTTGAAATGAACAGTTATGTATAACTCAGACATCTATTACTAGATTGAAGGGTAAAACTCCTCCCTCTGCTTAAAAACCTTTTATAAGCTAACTTAATTCTTGAACTGGAGTTTGCTTACAGCAAAAAATAAAAAGGAAAGAGAGAAAAGAAAAGCAAACCAGAGCCTTTGCTACCAGTCTCAAGAACTGTGCTTTTGGCTATCCTGGCCCTGGGGCCCAGGGTCAAAGGCCACTGGGGAACTGCTGTCCTTCCCAGCTCCTTGTTAGGGCGGTTATAAAAGAGAATGAGGAAGCTCCCACAGGAAGACAGCAGCCTGGTTGGGCTGTCCCTCACACCTCTCTCTTGGTTAGTTGCTTTGCGAGCGGATGATTTCCCTACCAGAGCTCCATGCACAAGTGAAGACTTTATTCTCTACCTGCAGTTGCATCTGGGGAAGCGAAAGGGCACGGCTCCGCCTCCAGGTCCCTTTTCTTGAAGGCAGCTTTGGGTCTACACCGGTTTGCTCAGTAAAGCAGTGGGCCAGAGGTGCTGGCCACCTCTGGCTGGCTATGGCCTGGCCAGGCCCAGGAAGGTGAGGTCACTTTGGACTCTTGTGTTGCAGTTCTCCAAGGAAAGGCACATCATGGACAGGACCCCCGAGAGGCTGAAAAAGGAACTCGAAGAGGAGCTGCTGCTGAGCAGCGAGGACCTGCGCAGCCACGCCTGGTACCATGGCCGCATCCCGCGACAGGTATGCTCTCTGCTCTCCTTAGGCAATGTCGTACTGATGATGCTGTTGGGTCCAGCCCACAGATCATAAAACTCTAGTACATATAGTGACTCAGCTTAGGCCTGGCTCTAAAGAGACCTTGGGAAGAGCCAACAGTGGGATTCTAAATGCATTTCCAGTTACAGAGGAAAGGCCAGCGCTCCTGGGAGCTACATACATGTGGGCAGGAGGCTGCAGCGGCAGTACCGGCTGCCGGAAGTAGGTGGAAGGTTAAGGTTCAGATAATTAACCTCTTGGCCCAGTGGCTAGAGCTTCCTACCACTTGGACCCTTTTTGTGAAGGCAGTGACTTACCTCAGATGACCAGGCAGGTGGCACAGACTGACAAGAATCGGGAGGAAGAGGGATCATCCCAGGGACCGGGGCGCCATGGCCCAGGATGTCTTTCATGTGGTTGTCATCAATAATTTTTTAATAGTATAAGAAAAATAGACTAAGTCTGCATAATTGAAGTGTCCAGTTACCCATGGGTTTTTATTATATGTGTAGTCTGGCCAGTCATTAGCCAGGGACAACAGGACAGGAAATGAATGTCCAAGTCTACACTGGTGGCAGGTAAATATTGTCTTTGGTGTAATAGATTTCACCTTTTAAAATTGTTACATTTATTCATTTATTTAGTGTGTGTGTGTGGAGTGTGCCTCACCACACATGTGGAGATCCGAAGACAGCTTGTGGGAATTCTCTCTCCTTTCCCATCATGTGAGTTCTAGGGATCCAAACTCAAGTCATCAGACTTGACAGCAAGTACGTTTACCTGCTAAGCCATCTTGCCAGCCCAAAATTTACTTATTTTTTTTCTAACTGTCCTAGAACTCGCTCTGTAGACGAGACTTGGCCTTGAACTCACAACAATCCACCTGCCTCTGTCTCCTGAGTGCTGGGTTTAAAGGTGTGTGCCACCCCTGCCCAGTTTAGTCCCAAATTTCTTAGTTAACTATCAAAGAAATAATTCTTATTCTGATCTTGATTTTTTTTTTGTGTGTGTGTATGTATGTGCGTAATCTTAAAATTGATTGTAGAGGGGGCTGAAGAGATGGTTTGGCGGTTACCACTCTTCCAGAGGACCTGGGTTCAATTCCCAGCAACCACATGGCTGTTGTTCACAGCTGTTTGTAACTCCAGTTCCAGGGGACCTGACACCCAAGGCAAAACACCAATGCACATAAAATAAAAATTGAGTATAGGAAATTCAGATAAGAAAAAAGAAAATTCAACTCTTATCCCTAATTGTCTCCCCTGGGAATAGTCTTTATGAATATTTTGGTGCATATCTCCCCAGACCTCCTCTATCAAGTAGGGGATCTTCCTGCTTTCCTTGGCCCAGTTTCTTCACCTAATGATGTGGCCTGGGAATTCACTCTGGCTGTAAAACATCCTCCTGCCCCATCACACAGCTGCATCACAATGTATTGGGTACTTAGAGCGTTTCCAGCAGTCTGACCAGCATCCTGTAAGATAACTACCATGTTCAGACCTATAATTCTTCCTACTGGCTCGATTCCGGGAAATGGAATTTCTATGTGAAAATATATTTTAAGGCCAAGATGCAATTTCAAAGTAACCATGGTAGCATACTATTCTGAGCTAGCAGAAGTATAGCATCACTTGGATGCTAGAATATCCTAGAAAAAAAAATGGCATCACTGCTGTCCTTAGTGTGCCGGGAGGATGAACTCTCAGTAGTGTGCCATCCTGGACTGGTAACTGAAGCCCCTTAGCAATGATAACAGTATGCCAGCGTTCTATTCCTTTGACACTTTTGGCCCCTCTATAGGCAATAGCATTATCTATATCTCATAGATGATGTAACCGAGCCACAAAGAGCTTATGTAATTTGTCTAGTGACACATCCAGGACAGAATGTAAACCTTGGTGGTCAGGCTCTGAAATGACTGACACAGTATAGGTCTCTGCTGTAAACATCACCATCATAGTGGGTACCTATTTGGGGGTATCCATGGTGTTACAGGCATTGTAAAACTAGTGTTTTAAATATTTTATATATGCAAATGTATTATCTTTACAATAACTTTTTGTGAGATGAGGGAACCTCAAGCAACTTTTTTTTTTCTAGCCTCCTAGCAAGTCCAGAACTCACCATGTCGTCCCGGGGCTCACCCTGCTGTGCAGATGGGAATCTTAGGACAATGTCTAGGGACCAAAACAGCCTCCTGCTCTTCCTCCCTTCCTGCTTAAAAGAGAATCAGACCCACAGGGCACACACTCTCCTTTCTTCTTGCTGTTTTACATTTGTCATGTTCTTGTGACATCTTCCTGACCGCTCTCATTTTAAAGATAACCTTCCCAAGCACCCTGTCTCCCTTCCAAAGTTTTCTTTTCCTTCACAACACCTGGCATATTCCAGTGGCTGTCTGTCCTGAGATGGGAGTGGCTACAACACATTAGAAAGTCCCTGAAGAAGGACACTTAGTCACTAATGTGTCCCTAAATCTGCAGGCAGTAGCACTGGGCACGTAGAGGATGGGCAATAAATAGTTGGGGTGTTATATTTTTGAGAGAGGGATGACCTCCAGCGTGTTATGCGTCCCTGGCTGGCCTCAAGCTGACAATCCTGTTTTAGTGTCCTGAGCACTGGGCTTACAGTTGTGCATGGCCTTACCCAGCTAGTAAATACCTCTGGAGTGCGACATTTAACAAACTGAAGATCTGACCGCAGGGGAGTGCTAGAAGATAGCTCAGTGGATAAAATAGTCATATCGTAGCACAAGAATCAATCCTTAAATCCACATAAAAATGGGGGAGGGAGGGAAGGGAGAGAGGTAGAGAGAGAGAGAGAGAGAGAGAGAGAGAGAGAGAGAGAGAGAGGGAGAGAAAAAAAAAAGGAGGAAAAGCCAGGTGTCGTAACACAGGCAATGGGGAGGCAGAGAGAGGCAGATTCCTGGCTTGCTGGCCTAGTGAGACTACTTGGAGAGGTTCCAGGCCAGTGGGAAGCCCTGCCTCAAAAAAAAGATAGATTGTGCCTACGGCTTGATACCCAAGGTCTCTGCATGGATGCACACACGGCACACATACACAAAGTCTGACTTCTGCTAAACTCCTGAGAAAATATGTTGCCTTTCCTGCTCCTCACCCACTGTTTCGTCTACAGGTATCTGAAAACCTGGTGCAGCGAGATGGTGACTTCCTGGTTCGCGACTCCCTGTCTAGCCCGGGAAACTTTGTTCTGACCTGTCAGTGGAAGAACCTCGCTCAGCACTTTAAGATCAACCGGACTGTTCTGAGGCTCAGCGAGGCCTACAGCCGCGTGCAGTACCAGTTTGAGATGGAGAGCTTTGACTCCATCCCTGGGCTGGTGCGCTGCTACGTGGGCAACCGGCGGCCCATCTCCCAGCAGAGCGGTGCCATCATCTTCCAGCCCATCAACAGGACAGTGCCCCTCTGGTGTCTGGAGGAGCGTTACGGTACCTCACCAGGCTGCAGCCGGGAGGGCAGCTTTACTGACGGAAGGCCAGATGTGGCTAAGAGACTGAGCCTCACCACCACTGGTAGCATCCAGGCTCGGGAAAGCTTGCCCCGGGGAAACCTGCTCAGGTAGGTCTGAGGGGTGCTGGGGGCCCAGCTCAGGCCAAGGAGTTGAGGATATTGCTACCCTCAGTGTGAGTGGGGAGTGTTACAAGGTGTGCGTGATTAGTTCCCAGTTAAAGAGCACGAAAAGCCAGTGGTGGAACCCGGTGTGTAATGCATGCTTATAACCTCAGGGCTTCAAGGCTGAAGTGGGGAGATTGCCCCAAGTTCAAGGCCTTCCTAGATTCCAGAATGAGACCCCGTTTCAAAAACAAAAACAGCAACAAAAGTCACAGGGGCTGAGCAGGGGGGAGGCTGACCTGAAGGTATGGGGATGTTTGGGGGACACTGCGAAAAAGAGGGGAAGACAGCCAAGGGCCAGAGGAGCCTGGAGGGTTGAGGGCTCAGTCTAGAACAGAGGGCTATGTAAAGAAGGGGTGGCGCAGGGGTAATGGTGGAGGCGTTTGGCAGACTAAGGTACTACAAAAGCTTGGTATGTTGAACAAATCCTACACCAAAACTGGGCAGCACTAGGCACAGACTGAGGAGAGAGACTGAATGAAGCAAGCAAGTCGGAGAGAGTTTCAGGAGGGGCCCAGGCTGAAAGGGAGAATCTTGAGAGAGAAACTAGGCTTTTGGGGTCTTGGGGGTTGGAGGGAGACAGAGAAGACTGCCTAGGCGACACACAGCAGTGACTCTGGGAAGGGGGTGTGTCTTGAAGGAAAAAGTCATTTCATCTGAGGAGGGACCGCGGCCGTGCCGGTGTCAGCATCCAGCAGGGGTCAGTGTTGAGGACTCGGACTGGGAACTGAGAGCCCAGAAAAGGGTTTGGCTTGGAGAGGGAACTGAAGGACTGAGATGGGGGGGGGGGGGGGGGGGGGGGGCACGACTGTACCCTGTGCCCCTGGGAATGAAGAGAAACATTCAGAGAACAGGACAGGAAAGGGCTGAGAGGCGAGCTTCCAGAGCTGAGACTCCTTCACAGATCCAACTGCTAGAGTGGGTGGGAGGAGACAAGATGAGATGTAGACTGACCTCCCCCCCCCCCCCCCCCCCCCCCGCCGTTATGCCCCCACTCCTGGCTTCTGAGCTCCCATGTTTAAGTGAACGTGTCCGTTCTCTTCTCGGTCTGGGCCAGGCAAAAATATAAACTATAATTTCTTTACGGCAAAAAAAAAAAAAACGCCTCATGAAATCCAGGACTATGTGAGTAACAGAAATTACAGCTGTGCTCCCTGGTTCACGTTAGTCAGCATCTGACTCAGGACCTGTGGCTCCTGGCTGGCTCCATGCGGCTTGCTGTGCAACCCCCGGACAGAGACCTTAACTTCTCTGGGACTCCCTTTCTCCGTCGGGAAGCATGGAACTTGCGTGGGTTTAGACGGTGAAGGAAACGGAAAGTGTTTACTTACAGTAAGCGCTAACGTTCCCGGTATCTGTAGGGGAGGCAAAGTCAGACTTGGGCGTAAGCAGGGAGGCAAGGATGATATGGGAGATGCTGTTCTGATTGTTCTCTGGAATGTAGAGGCGCTGCTGCTGCAGCCCACACAGTCCAGGTGGAGGAAGGGCGACCTCAACATGACCGGTGGCCTTAATGAACTTGTCACCCCTACCCCGCTGCCCTTCGGCGACTTCCCCACGTCAGCTTTGGCCCGCTGCCACCTGCTCTGACGTTGGGCATGCTCTTCTTGACTGGCAGCCTCAGGCTCTGGGCAAAGGTGTGCCTTCGCGGGCAGGTTACATTCCACTCGTCAAGCTGTTCTGGGCCCCTGGAATCTGATGGGTTGATCGTTGATCTCGGTGGACGCGGCTCAAATATTATTTTTCAGGAGCCACTTCCTTTTGGAATTTGCCTCGTCTTTGACTTACTTATCTTTGGGAGGTTGCTGAAAGTTTGTTTTGTTTCGTTTCCCAAAGGTAGGGAAGACCTGGTTTGTGTGAGATGGGGATGGAGGAGTAGGGAGGTGGGGGAACGGGTTCCCTGCAGCCTGGCTGGTCCTGTGTCTCTCTTCCTCTATTGAGAGCATCCAGTCCCCTGGTAAAAGTGTTCCAAGCTCTTCCAGCTTCCACTTTGCTTCTAGCTCAGCAGCTGGGGGTCACCTGTGCATGCTTCAGGCACAGAGTCAGGAAGATAGGTGCATGCAGGCATTTGCAGATTATTGGGGTGGGAGGTAGGGAGGAGGGAGTGCTGATCTGTGCATAGACATGGAGTGACCTCCAACTTCCGTCCAGCTGACATTGATCCATGGTGGAAAAGTCGTGTTAGTTAAATAAGTCATCCCCCCAGAGAATGAAAATCATCCTAAGCTTTTTTTAAAAGTACACACTCCCATCCATCAGATTCCTCCTCATCCCCCAGAGGGCCGCGACCCATGCACCCTGCTCTGTTCAACAGGATGGAAGGCTTGGGGAGGCCTCCTAGGACCCAGCTGCCTTGGCCCTGGGGACTCGGCACACCCCGTCAGTTTCTCCTCCTTGTGGCCTTTTCTTTGCTGTGAAGGGTATGCGCCGCACTTGTTCTGGAAGATTTCTTTCCTTAAATTTCCATGACGTTGCCTGCAGAAAGCTTTACTACTTAATGACACGTCTGTGCCTGGTCTTTGGCTTCAGGAATAAAGAGAAGAGTGGCAGCCAGCCCGCCTGCCTGGATCACGTGCAGGACAGGAGGGCCTTAGCCCTCAAAGCCCACCAGTCGGAGAGCCACCTGCCCATAGGTAGGTGTGGGGGAGCCTCAGGGACGAGGGTGGGAGTGTGGCCCTGGCTGAAGCTGGGCTTTTCTTGCCTGAACAAGCCCCAGGCTTTGAGGACTCCATACCTGCAGCCTAGAGGGGAGGTTAGCAGAGCTGCCTGGTTGTGGTCCCTGAACTCAATGCTCTATCATCATCCAAGCATTTAAATCCCATACCAGCCTTCAAAACGGGCAGTTATCCTCATCTTGCAGCTGAGGAAACTAATGTATTAAGGAGGAGGGTCACCTAGCATTTGCACCCAGGGTTTGTACATTTCAAACCCTTTTGATAAGTGGTGGGCATCATGACAGAAAAGTGCTCCCCTTTAGCGTTCCCCCTTCCCCTACCCTATGTAGCAGTAGCTCACCCACAGATGCATTGCCGCTTCTCTGTGCTCTTTCCATGATGTGGGGGGTGGGACCTGGGAAAGGCAAAGCATTCGGTGTTAGTGGGATGGCTTTTCATTTCTTTTATATGTAACTTCCCATGGGACCACAGAGTGATTTTTCCTAGTGCCCCTTTGTAAGCTGTTTCTGTGCGACTTAGCGTGTCTGTCTACCATCCCTGCATCTCTTGCTCTCTCGTGAATGCTGACTGAGATCAACCAGACTTCGAGAGTGACTCAGAGCCCTTAAGGCTCTGTGGCTGGAGACTTCTGTTCCTTAGTGCAGGATTGTGTTATTTACTGCCCAAGACATGTTTTCCTGTTCTGACTGTCCCAATCCGCTGTGACCATAAAATGATGTTACAGCCCAGCCCCTGGGGTTTAGAATCTCTCCCGAGAGTGAGGTGGAGCCAGCGGAACCTTCACAGTGTTCTGGACTGCCACAGAGCAGACCTGCTGGGAGAAAGCCCACCAGTGTTTCCTTTGTGGCTGAGAGGGGAACCCAAGGGCACGGAGTGAGAGCTGGGAACTGCCACTCCCACTCTGCTCTCTGTTCTCCAGACAACTGAGCTTTCTCTGCCCTTCTTTTTTCCTCTGCAGGCTGCAAGCTGCCCCCTCAGTCTCCAGGTATGGACACAAGCCCTTGCCCCAGCTCTCCTGTGTTCAGGACTGGCAGCGAGCCCACCCTGAGCCCGGCACTGGTCCGACGATTCTCTTCCGACACTAGGGGAGGAGGGGAGGCCCTGCGGGGATCAGACAGTCAGCTGTGCCCCAAGCCACCCCCAAAGCCCTGCAAGGTGCCCTTCCTCAAGGTTCCCCCATCTCCGCCTGCCTGGCTCAACTCTGAGGCCAACTATTGTGAACTGAACCCCGCTTTTGCTGTGGGCTGTGACAGGGGAGCCAAGCTTGCCCCACAAGAGGAGCTGCTGACAGCCAAACACAATGGGGCGTCAGGCCCCCGGAACTCTGGCATCAACTACTTGATCCTTGATGGGGATGACCAAGCGAGACCTTGGGATCCTCTGGCGGCACAGACGGACGAGGGTCAGGAGGACAAGACGACGTTTGTGCCACCTCTCATGGAAACTGTGTCGTCATTCAGACCAAATGACTTTGAGTCTAAGCTCCTTCCTCCGGAGAACAAGCCCCTGGAAACCGCCATGCTGAAGCGTGCAAAAGAAGTGTTCACCAACAACGACGCCAGGGTCATCGCACAGCACATGCTGAGTGTGGACTGCAAGGTTAGTGCTCTGGGGTTGGCCCCTTCCCACAGCGGAGGCTTGTAAGGGCACCTGCCTGGCTGTATGTACTCTGCCTCCTCGGCTAGGTACTTTGTCATAGGGAAAAGCCAGAGGATAACCCAGGTGTGGAGATTTACTTACAGGGTGGGAACCACCAGCAGGACAACCTTTGCCCAGCAGGAAGCTGCTAAACTTCACCTTGGACAGAGGGAAGGCAGGCCCGCCCCTGACCCCCTCTGCTGATATTTGTGACTCCTCCTCCTCCTTCCTGGTGCTTGGTTAAAAATTCTACTCAGGCCAGTCAGAACTGAACAGCTGGGGCCCAAGGAGTATAGCTGAAAGCCTGGTTTTGGGAGTTGCAGGACCCTGGCTGTTTTATTCTATACTTACCTATGTGCCATATTTATTTTATTACTGACACGATCTCTAGGATAATCATCTTCAACTACATCTTTTTAAATTTTTTACAAGAATTCTTTAAGTTAGAAAAACTGTAAAATGAAGATTAGAAGAAAAGATAAAATCATACAAAATCCAGTTTCCTTCCTAGGCCTGAGAGATGGCTTAGCAGGTATGCTGACTGCTAAGACACGGCCTGAATACAGTCCAGAATCTACATGGTGGAAAGAGAGGACCAACTCCTGCAAGTTGACTTCTGAGCTACACAAACAACATGGCATATATACATATATACACACGTACACACACACACACACACACAGAGAGAGAGAGAGAGAGAGAGAGAGGGAGAGAGAGAGAGAGAGAGAGAGAGAATAAAAAAATCTCAAAAATTCATGCTGGAGAGATAACTCAGTGATTAAGAGCACTGGCTACTCCTCCAGAAGACCCTAATTTGATTCTGAGCACCCACATAGCAGCTCCTAACATATTTAACTCCAGGTCCACGGGGTCTTACTTTCTCTTCTGGTGTCTGGGCATGAGTCACACATGTACTGTACAGACATACATGCAGGCAAAACACCCATACACATAAAATAAAATTAAAAACTCATTTAAAAAGTCCTGGTTCCTAAATGACAGCCACTGATAGCACTTGGCATGTGGCATGCTAGGCCTGCCGGCTTTGTGGGTAACACTTGCTAATCACATACAGATACAATCTCAAGCCTGTGGCTCTCATTCCACAGCTACACAATTTCATCATCTTCATTTCTTATAGCGGCATTTGCTTCAGGAGCAGTGACCTGTGTCCATAAGCTCTCAGTCTCTCTTCGACAGTGGGCATCTGGGGCTTGACCCACCTTTTCGGTATACAGTAGTTGACGCTTGGGCATTTGAGTGACAGCTAAGGCCTCAGTGGAATTTGATGTCCGATTTCATTCAGTTCAGAGAAGGCCATGAGTTTCAAAGGTTAGGATTTGTTCAAGAGCTGAATTTTCCTTCCTGTGTCAGGAATCGTGGCTGGAAATCTAATCTCCTAGCAATCCCCCAGGGGGTTCTGGAGCTGATAAAGGGCTCCCAAAAATAACTATAATATAAATAATCCACTAAATAATTGCGGGCTCTCCTGGGTAGAAAAAGCTCCTGTCCTGAATCCAGGACAGGAAAGGTAATTAGTGCCCATAGTTGAGGGGGTCATCCATGCTGGTAGAGGAAGGAGCGGGTGTCCCTGCTAAGCAAGGCCCAACAGGAGAGCTGAGAAACAGGACTGGTGTGAAAGAACAGGACTTGTTGACTTCATTAGATGAGCATCATTGGGCACACAGGTGGGTAGATGGATCTTTGCCTTAGTGTCCTGTGCAAGAGGATTGAGAATTTCTATCCCAGCAAGTCAGCCGTGTGGGCCCTGGGTCATGCCAGTAGGCAGAGGTGAATTCCCATCTAGTGTGAGCCTACCTGCTCACCACCAGCCCCCAAGAGGGAGCTCTTTGTGAATGCGGGGTTCTGCATTTACAGAACAGCTCTTCTCCTGGGGGTAGTCAGTCCGTGAGTGTCAATGAGGGCTTGAATGTCTAGAAGGAGGAAAAGGGGAGATGCCTGCCCATGCTTCACAGGTCTGGAACCTTCCCACTGCTTTGGACAGCCTTGAAGGGAAAGCCTAAGTCTGATGTCACCAGACAAGTATGCAGTCCTCCTCCTCTCCTGCCCTGTGCACTTTGTCCTTCTGATGGGCCTCCTCCCTTGTCTGTCTTCAGGCTTCCTGGGAGTCCCCAGCAAGCAAGGAGAAACCAGCCTAGACTGTTCACCCTAGCCTCACGGGCAGGGCTGCGGTCAGCCCTCTGAGTATTTCCCTTCGCCACCCATGCCTCGTTTTCCTCCTCTTCCCCAGAACTACCAGGCACAGCCAGTGCTTCGAAGAGGAAAACTGTTTCCCACCCCAAATGTAGCAGCAATGAGATGGGGCCACCCAGGAGCGCATCTGGGTCCCATGTGCCCATTCCCACCCCGGCACGTAGTTCAGGCACAGATGCTTATTAAGGGCATCAGGACAGTGGGTGGTTCTGAGCACACGGGAAGCTGGAGCCCATCAGTGCCCAGCACCCACCTCCTGGGCCCTCCTACCTGCAGATGGGCGCTGCTTTCCTCACCCTGGGGAAGCACAGCCACCCCTCCACCTACTGTCTGAACGTGGACTGAAATCCAGTCATTAGCTGTGTGACCCTCGTTCTCCATTTGCAGACAGTGTCCTGCAGGTGGCTACGAGGCACATGTGCCAGGATTTCTGTCAAAAGCCATGGGGAGAGAGCTTGTTCTAAATAGGCTTCATTTCTGGATCCAAGAAGGGGGTGGGTTGGGAAGGGCCTGTCTGCCTTTCCCGGTGTGTGTGAGTTTCTTCTGGGCTCATACAGGATCTTGCTGTTAGAGCACTTTACCATCAAGTAAGAAAAACAAACCTATGAGTATGTGGGTGCAGGTCTGAGTCCTCTGCCGTGGACAGCGGAGCCAACACAGCTAGAGATTGCCCTGGCAGTGTGATTGCACCTCAGGCCTCTTGGTAGCCGAGAAGAGGGCCAGGCCAGGTACCCACCAGGACTCCTGCACACTGCACTGGCCTCGAAGCAGTGGAGTGCGGAGAAATGGGTCCAGGGGCTTCACTAAGTGGTGACAAGGAGGACTTAGAGGGCAGAAGGAAGACTTCTGCATCCTGCCCTGCCAAGGTGGGGTCAGCCCACGGTAAACACTGCCTCCTCCCTCCGCTATAATACAATCCCCAGAGGATTTTACCTAGGCCTGCACGTGTCCTCCAGTGTGGGCCTGGTAAGCATGTGTAGCCCAGGAAAGGGACCTGCTGATGGCCAACTTAAGTCAGAAGGGAGACGTTTCGCTCTCCAAATGGAACCCCAGAATTCCTGGTACTGCTTCTAGAAGGAAACTGCCAGTGGCGAGCCTTTCGGCCTTGTTATGTAGAAGGTGTGGGTTACAGTGCACCCCAGAGAGGCACTGCTTGCATGCCTGGAGTGATCACGATAGAGCCCAGTCCACCAGATGAAGCACGAGAACCATCCTGTGCCAGCCACGTGTCCAGACTTGGTTAGGCCCCCGAATCCCAGGGTCACACTGCAGTATGTCACCGAGCTCTCGTGGCCCCAACTTAGGAACATGCTGAGTCCACTGTCACACTTCAGCACGACGTGTACTAACTAGGAACGGTCAGGTCTAGTATCCAATTCCATTAGACCGTTCGTTAAACACATGAGAAACGAGCTGGTAAAAAACATACTGTAAGAAACAGAAAGAGCAAATTTAATCAATGAAGAGAAAAGAAAAGGATTGGATTGGGATGAGAGCTGGCTCGGATAAAGCCAAGATTTCCTTTCAGGGAAACCTCTCTGGAGGAGACGTGGGTGTGTGGGTTTCAAATCACCATATGTTTGTAATGGTTCCCAGCCGTAAGGTGCACTTACGGCACCCAGGAGAGGCGTAATTAGGAGCAATCGCAGCCAGCTGTGGCAGCTAAGTGAGAACATGAATGGCAAAGCCCAGAGCAGAGGGGAGCTTGGAGCGCACTCTGCCTTTCCACTGAAGAGACTGGTAGGCTCCACACACGCGCAGCCTTGCTGTTGGCAGCAAAATGTCTCTCCAAGATCCAGCCTGTGTCAGCCCAGGGCTTGAACGAATGATTAATTCCCTGGCTGGGCATGAACGCATGCCAGATCTGCAGGTTGTAGAGATCATTTGGGAGTTCCCTCAGCACTTTGCCCACTAAGCGAGGGAACTGTGTGTGTGTTCATGTGTGAGGCAGTACACATGGGAGGAAACACTTGCACATGTCAGTGTGTGAGGTCAGAGGACAACCTCAGGAGTCCTGAGGAGCTGGGCACCTTGTTTTTTGAGAGACAGACTCTTACATGGATCTGGGGCTTGCAAATTAGGTTAGGCTGACTGGCTGGGAAGCCCCAGAGATCCACCTTTCTCTTCCTCCTGAGTGCTGAAGATTGAGCCCATTCCACCATGCTTGGCTTTTTACAAGGGTGCTAGTAATCAAACTCAGTTCTCAGATTGCACAACAAACACTTTACAGACCAAGCTATTTTATCAGTCCTCTCCCAGCTTTCTATCTTATTCCGTATATTAAGATTATGCTGTCACTCAAAGAAATATAAGTGCACTCTATCCACAGCCACAGAATTTCCGTGGACCGTATTTCTTTCCTCATGCTAAATTAACAGTGGGGCCAACCCACTTCCTGATCTAGCAAATTTCTACTCGGCTCCTGACAGGTTGCTAGGATACTGGAAGTCTCTGAAGACATGAAGAGGAGCATGGGTGTGAGCTCAGGACTGGAACTCATTACCTTGCCTCACGGACGCCAGCTGCGCCTGGACATTATCGAGAGGTGAGCACGCTGTCTCTGCAGCTCCCACTTTCAGCTCCTTGCACACATCTGTGCAGCAGGGTGCAGAGGAGTCATATTACTCCAGGGTCCGCATGGCTCTTCTCAAGCCTGAGCTATAGAATACCTGATGAGAAGACAGTACAGCGGGGGTCAGGGGCATCGCACTGTCCCGGCCCCATTTCTGTGGGTGGCAGGAGAAAGACTTTGAAGCTGTGCATGGCTGCAGCTGGGAGACTACACCTGCTGTATTCTACCTCTCATGAGCATCCGTGGCTCTGGAACTCAAGAGCTCTTGATGAACTGGGGAAGACTGAGGAGAGTGGGTTCTGACCTCTTTCTGTAAGGGGTGGACAGGAGGACTATGGATCCCAGGGCTTGGAAACAAAATCACGCTGCTATTTTTTCAGAAACACTACAATCCCAGGGTAGCTTCCTTTCTAGTTGCTGTACTAAATTACCCTGGCAAATACATCCTAAGAAAGGGTTTATTTAAGTTCTATTTAAGTTCACAGTCTCTCTGGTGGGGAAGTGGAGAGAGCAGGAGCTTGTGCCCACAGTCAGGAAGCAAACAGTGAGTGCAAGCTGCTGCTAATGGGGGCACTGCCACCCACAGTGGCATGTCTTCCTTCCTCAGCTATAAAACCCCCCAGAGGCCCATTTCAGATTCTCTCAAATTGACAGTACTGACCACCACATCAGGTGTCTATTAAAATGCACACATGCCTATAATCTCAGTACCTGGGAGGCTGAGGCAGGGGGATCAAGCCAAGTTTCATAATAAAGACTTTTCTCAAACAAATAAAAAAATGAAACAAAACAGAAACATGCCCTTGAACATAAAATGCTTAGAGACATGATTTTAAGAAGCACAAGACTAAATTTTTGTATGACCACAAAATCAGTCTATACACACACACACACACACACACATGCATGCACGCACCCACTATTGGGCAAACTGTTTCCCAGTAGCCGTGACTAACTGCTATGGCTTCCATGATATTCTTGGGCATGGCCCTGACCAGTTGAGCGTTCTGTGGTGCAGGAGTGCGCACAGACACTGACTGTTCTGGCCACTGTACATGGGTGGCAGATGCATCTAAGAGATGTGAAGAAAATTTTTAGCTCTCCAGTATCTATATCCACATGTGCTGGCAGCTGTCGGCCTCTAGGAAGTAAAGGCTCTATTCACATAATGTTACAAAGATGAGCCTGCATTGCACAGCTGTAATCCCAGCACTGTCATCGAGAGAGAGGGCTTTGAGGGAGTGAGGCAGAGGCTTTGGGGATGCCTTTGGTCTCACAGCAGGTGGGGGGATAAGAATGGGGGGGCAGGAGCAGGATTGATGGGTTAGAAATGGCTAGTTTTGTTCAGGTGAAGGCATCGGGGAATTACTTGTCGCACTTCTGAGCTGCCTGCTTTTCCTGACCAGACTCCTTTCTCCAGTGTTGCCTGGGTGGAGCGGTCACTCACTTCCTCGTTCCTAGTAGATATGCTATAGTCTGAGATCTCCAGAGATTTCTTCTTTTTCCTGGCACTGAGAATTGTGCCGGAGCCTGAGCTCTGAGCCTCAGCCACGATGAGCAGTTGCTGGTCTCTCGTCAACATCCCTCTCTCTATGCTTCGTGCCTAGAATCTCACATCCTAATTTGTTTCCTATTCATCTCTGACTATGGGATCTACCCACAGAGCCAGGGGGACAGTCTGAGTAGCTATGATGTGTTAACTAAATAAGGACCAAGGTCAAAGGAATCCTGGACTGCCCAATGACTTTATTCTCTTGCTCTTGAATCAAATCTAAAAGCTACCCTTGACTTCAGGTTTACCATCTCACTCCAGGGGCATCCTTCTGATAACATATTGAGTAACCTCTAGCTGCCAGTCATTGACATGTAAGCCACAGACTGAGTCATACACACACACATCCTTCTGGTAACATGTGAGTACCTTTAGCTGCTGACCACTGACAGGTGAGCTGCAGACTGAGGCGTCCTCTCTCTCTCTCTCTCTCTCTCTCTCTCTCTCTCTCTCTCACACACACACACACACACACACACACACACGTAAAGACACTTGGAGCCAGCAGAGTTAACAAGCAAGGCATTTGGGGGACTTGGAAAGGCAGAGCAGAGCTAACTCCCTGCCACCTTCTGCCAAGGGTGAGAGACCACTGACCTAGGCACAGCAGCAACACAAGAAGAAGCCCCAGCCCCCTTTGTGAGCTTTCAGGACAGTGTGACCCTGCAGTTTCAAAGGCACATGGTACCTTCAGCAACTGCATAGTAGCCTAGAAAATTAAGACTATTTTGACTCAGTGCAGTAAATTCCTGGACTGAGATTTACAGAGGGAAAGAAAGAGGTCACTGTCTGAGCTTCCTGCCACTGACTGACCCTGTTCATAGGGTCCCATTGTCATGTCCAGAAAAGTCATCCTGTTTCCTGCCCTAAGTCTCTGAGTTTGACCCATGTAGTCTAGGGTGAGAAAAGGGAGTCTGGGGGAGGGCAGGGTACTGTTTTATTAGGATCTGACCTTATAGCAAATTCCCGCCTCTCCTTCAGCCATTGTCCACCTCTCCAGTCACTCTGTGGCATCTGTACTGGGGTCGTAGAACACCCTTTCTTGTCCCCATCTCTCCTCCTCTTGTTCTAATATATCCATGTCATTTTTCTGAATCAAGTATATTGCCTCTCCCTGTTTTTGTCTTTTACACTCCTCACTAAGAGGTGGTCCCAGTCTTCCTCAGGGGTAGCATCCTGTCTGTTAGGGAACCTGGTATCTCCTTAGGCCTCTCATGGTAGTAAAGGGAGCCTTGTAGCCACATCACTTCTGAGGTCCTCTTCATGCTTCCATTTGTAGAGCTGACCTGGACATGTTCAAGGGCATCTTACTTCCTGAATCCATCCTCTGCCTGGTGTGGGATGGCTTTATTAAGATCAGCTTTTCAAACTGGCTCCTAACCAGGAACACACAACCTTGTTTCTGGAGGATTAGGGCCATTTTCTCCTCATCTTGTTGACCTGAGCCTGACCCTTGGTCTTCTTCCACTTAGACACAACACCATGGCCATCGGCATCGCTGTGGACATTCTGGGCTGCACGGGTACTTTGGAGAACAGAGCAGGTACCCTCAATAAGATCATCCAGGTGGCGGTGGAGCTGAAAGACACCATGGGAGACCTCTATTCTTTCTCAGCCATCATGAAAGCCCTAGAGATGCCTCAGGTGAGATGCTGGCTTTGTGCTGCTGCCCACACAAGCGTGCATTCAACGCTATGCAGAGTTCTGTTCATCTACACCATGTATGGCTGACTGCTCCAGCCAGTCTCTGAAGATAACTGAATTTTAGTGAAAGCTGCCTTGGTTAGAGGCAGCCAAGCGTGTTGTCCCCAGTATTTTGGCTCTGTTTGTAAAAGCACTGGTAAGTGCTGACAGCCCACATCTCATCTTCGATGTGTAATACTAAGAATTAGCCTTACTAATAAGCAATACTCCTGAAGAAGCATTTAGGACAAGACAACAGGCTGGAACGTGTGGCGTGTCAGAGGCTATATCTACTTGGGACATCAGGAATGTGATGTTTGGGTAATGCCTTGGGGAAACCAAGGCATTCATTTAAGAAACTTATACCAGAGAATCCCTAAACCAGCAGTTCTCAACCCCTTTCATGGGGGTCACCGATCAGATATCCTGAATATCAGATATTTACATTACAATAGCAAAATTGCAGTTATGAAGTAGCAATGAAAACATTTTTATTGTTGGGAGTCACAACATGAGGAACTGTACTAAGGGTCAAAGCCCTAGGAAGGTTGAGTACCACTGTCCTAGACTGATGGTCTCAAAGTATCTTCCCTCAGGTTCCTTAAGACGGATGCCATGTAGCTCCCTGGAGGATGTCTCAGGTCTGACCTCTGACTGTCTGCACTGACAGATGTTGGATGTTTTCAGAAAGAATCAAACAGAATGGGCCTCCTAGAGGGAAGTGGGATCTGTTGTCTCCCCCTTGTGTGAGTGCTTGGAGAACTTTGAGTAGAGTCGAGTCCTGCAAGCCAGGTCAGACCAGCAGCATCGACCTGCTGGGTTTTTTTTTTTTTAATATTTATTTATTTATTTATTTATTTATTTATTATGTATACAATATTCTGTCTGTATGTCTACAGGCCAGAAGAGGGCACCAGACCCCATTACAGATGGTTGTGAACCCCCATGTGGTTGCTGGGAATTGAACTCAGGACCTTTGGAAGAGCAGGCAGTGCTCTTAACCTCTGAGCCATCTCTCCAGCCCCCGACCTGCTGGGTCTTTATCTGGGCTGTTTCCTAGACACGGGTTAGTCCTGAAATCCTGCCAGGTGTCCACAGACATCCGTCCCGGCCACTGAGGGACATGCTTGGCACATAATTTCCCTCATTAAGAAGAGTGATGGAACAAATTAAGTGCACACCAGAAGTTTCTTGGAACTCACCCACAAAGTAGCTACAATGCTACAATGAGATACCTACTTTTTCAAAGCATGCACAGACACACACATGCAAACTTAACTTGTGGGATGGGCCATCAGAACCATGCAGAACAGGATAGAGGGGTCATGTTTTTCTCTCAATGCACAACCGCTTCTGACACTGTCCTGCACATCTATCACCTATTCCAAAATTGAAGCAGAAAGGCAATTTTTAAAAAGAGGCTTTCTGAAACAATAACTTTTACTCCTTCCAGATCACACGGTTAGAAAAGACATGGACCGCTCTGCGGCACCACTACACCCAAACAGCCATCCTCTATGAGAAGCAGCTGAAGCCCTTCGGCAAAGTCCTGCAGGAAGGCAAAGGTGAGTGCCGGGGCACAGAAGACCCTACCGTCAGGCTCCTCCAGTTATATAATCTCACGTGGCATTGCATGTACGGACCTGCAGTTCCTACACGAAACACAGTCAGCTGGTTTGTAATTAACATGATATGGAACTTCCCTCCTTGTTCCTCAGAGTCCACACATGTCCCGCCAGGCAGTGTGTCAGTCCCACTGCTGATGCCTCTTGTGACCTTAATGGAACGGCAGACTGTCACTTTCGAAGGAACTGACATGTGGGAGAAAAACGACGAGAGCTGTGAAATTATGCTGAACCACTTGGCGACAGCCAGATTCATGGCCGAGGCTTCCGAGAGCTACAGGAGGAATGCTGAGAGGATCCTGGCAGGTAGGAACTTGTTTCTGGAATCCTCTCTCTGTGGGGATTAGAATGAAGGAATAAGAGAAAGGGCATGGATACCCTCAGCTAGAAAAATGACCAACGAGAAGAGATTAAGGTGTGGACACTCCCTTTCCTATGTCATTGCTCATTATACCTATTTCAATAGAAGAGCACACAAATACATAGGTGTCATTGTATGTGCGTGTTCGGGCCAGAGTCAACCTCAGATGTCTTTCTTCAGGCACTATACACCCCTTTTTTTGTGTCAGCATTTCTTACTGGCCTGGAACTTCACTATGGGGGCTAGGCTGGCGGGACAAGTCCCAGGGGCTCTTCTATCTCTGTCTACCCAGCATGGGGATTAGAGGTACATACTACGCCTGGCTTTAAAAAATTATTAATTGCACGTGTCTATGCAGGTATGTATATAGCATGAGTGAAGGAGAACAGGGAGTTCAGAGGCGTCATCCCTGAGCTAGTTACAGGTCACCTGACATAGCACTAGGAGACAAACTCAGATCTTCTACAACAGTCGCGCACATTCAGAACCACTGAGCCATCCAGTTGACCATGGCCAACTTTTTTTTTTTTTTTAGAATTTTATGAGTACTGTATTTAATGTAATTTCTACCACTTATTTTCACTTTCTGTCTCCCTTTGAAGACCACCTGTTACATACACGCCTGCATCTATAAGTATCTGATGAGTCCACTTTGTTGTTCATATGGCCATGTGTTTAGGGATGACCAACTGGGATTGAATAATATATCAGGGAGTTTGCCCCTTGAGGGGACTGATTCTTCTCTCAGTAGCCATTAATTACTTATAGCACTTCATCTAGGGGTAGGGCCTTGTAAAATTTCTCCCATCCACTTTGTCAGCTGGTGTTGCCACTGGACAGGTCTAGGTACATGACCTATTTTTGAGATTTCCTTAGTGCAACTCCTATTGTATGTAGAAGACAGTACCTCATAGCCTATACCTTGGTCCTTCTTCCTTGATGTTCCCTGAGCCTTTGGTGCAGAGATTGAGTTGTAGATTATCAACTACAGATGGGCCGTCCACAGTAAATTTTTCTCTGCACTTTGACCACTTGGAGATTTCTGCCGCTGGTCACCATCTACTGCAAAGAGCAGGTGCTGAGGGGCGCGAGCTACACCTGTCTGTGGGTGTAAGCATAGATATGTAGAATGCACTTGGGAATTATAATGGTTTAGGAAAGTGATGGTAGTATGTTCTCCCCTGACCTCATCAGCCACAAGTAGTTGGCTAGGTTTACAGTACCAGACACGAATTCCCTTCTACTGAGTGGGTCTTAAATCCAATTAGATGCTCTTGGTAACCTCCAAGATATAAGTGCCACTTCTGAACCCTTGCTGTAATAGCCATAGTTGTGGCTCACAGGCCTTACAGCTGAGTATTGGTTGTGTATCTCCCTTGGCAACTTGCATAGCAACTGCAGGTGCTGAGAGCCATTCCTCAGGGTGGAGGCTTCCAGGTCATTCCCAGCTTGATTCCTCAAGGTCCTGTGTCTAAAGTATGTGGTATCTTTAGCAATAGGGTTTTACCTTCAAGTTCTGAGAGTCTCTTGAACCCCTTTGGTTAAAGACTCCAAGGAGTTCCCCATGCCTGGCACTGGGGCTTCTGTTAGATTGACTATGGCTCTTGGGGGAGCATTACCAACCCCAGTGGCATAACTTCATTTAAATTATGCAATACACTAACATAAGTAAACAAACTATGTTTCTCTATAGCCTTTTCATTCTTAGTATCTTTTAACTGGGAATGGGGTTGGAGAAGGGATAGAGCTCCCCCCCCCGCAACTTTCCTCTTCATAGCACCTGTGTTCTACTGTCTGCTCTCTAGATCTCCCTACACAACCCACCACTGTCTCTTTTCATGAGAATAGGACTTCTTAGATTTGTCCACTTACTTGTAAAATTCATTATTTCACTTTCTTTACAGTTGAAGTGTTCCGCAGAATCACAGTGTATATATACCCCTGAATAGTTTTCCGTGGAATCACAGAGTATATATACCACATTTCATTATCTATTCATCAGCCAAAGGACACTTAGGTTATTTCTATTTCCTAGCTACTGTGAGCATGGCTGAACAAATATCTGTGTAATAGGATGTCAAATACTTTGGGCATATGCCAGGGAGTGGTATAGCTGGATCATACGGGAGATCTATTTTTAGCTTTTTGAGAATTTTCACACTAATTTCCATAGTGGCTGCACCAATTTATAATTCCACCAACACTGAGTGTTTCCCTTTCCCTGCATCCTTGCAAGCATTTTTTTTTTTTTAATCTTAGCCATTCTGATTAGGGTAATGGGTAATGACATCTCTAAAGTAGTTTTAATTTGCATTTTCCTAGTTGCTAAGAATAGTGAACTAACACTTTAAAGGTATTTCTTAGCCATTTTTGTTTCTTCTTTTGAGAACTCCATGGCACATTTTTAAATTGGGTCATTTATCTCCTTGACTGTTTTTTGAGTTCTTTGTATATTCTGGATATTAATCCTGCCAGAGCTCTTATGTGTTATAAAGTGCACTGTGGACATTGCACTCAGGCCTCTACTCACACAGCAAGTGCTTTTCTGATTGAGCCGTCTTCCCGTGTGTAATCATCTTCTAGTTCATCCCCAAACTATGTCCTGCAACTCCAGATGACTTAGGGGCCCCGCATTTCTTTTCTTTTGTGCTCTATCAAGGGATAGAATAAATAAAAGCAGTGGCAAGAAGAACGTGCACCATTACCACCTGGGAAGGCAGTAGCCAACACAAGGTGTTTTATCCAGACTTCATTGTCTGTGTGCCTCTTCCTTCCTAGTTACCCCTGCTCCAAGTGTCCCAGAACACATCCTGGGAGGTGTAAACTGAACTTTCTCCTTGAGCTCTGAAGAAGGATAAACATACGTCACCGCTGCGGCATGTGCTGCATGAGCTAAGTGGTGACACCCTCAAGGGTATCAGCACACAGTGCCAAGAGCAGAGCCAGCCATGAACACTCAGTGGTTTGCTCAGAAGGGCAGTATGTGGGAATAACACCCGGAAGAAAAGAAACCCCACTGTTTGGGAGACAGGGTCTCATAGAACCCAGAATGACCTCAAATTTGGTACCTTGCCAAGGACAACCTTGAACTTCTTGATCCTTCTGCTTCCACCTCCCAAATGCTAGGATTACACGTATATGTGAACCACCAATCCTGATGTATGCGGTGCTGGACTCTTCCTATATTAAGAGTGAAGAGTTTATGACTAGTTCTTTCGAAGTAAACACATGCTTACCATATGACTGCCTTGAGAAATGAATGTCCACACAGGCTTGTCCATGTTGACATTACTCACCATACATCAGTGAATGGGTATATTTGCATAAATGCCTATTAATCAGCAATTAAACAGAATGTGTTATTGCTAACATGCCACACATTGAACAATTTGAAAACCATTCATACAGAGTTGAAGAACCCTGACAGCGCATAATATATCACGATTCCCTTTTTATCAAACCTCTAAAGATGCAGAGCTCATCAGTGGTTCTCTAGGACCGGGGCTGAAACAGAGGCTAGCTACCTGGAAGTACTAGGGACTTTCTAAGCTGAAGAAAGTATCCTTAAAATGATAAATTTACTAAAATCAAACTTTACAGCTAAAATAGTTGAATCACATGGCAAGTAAAGTTGTTACAAATGCAGACAAGCTGCCATCCAACACTCCTCACACATCGGACACAGGCTTGTGAATTCTTTGACGCTCGCTCGTCAAATGAGGAGGTCCTACATTTTTCTAGAGGAGAAAGTTCATTTAATTCTACTGTAAAACAGGATAGCTTTCACTCACTTACAACCCTCTGAAGCAGAACCCAACTTACCTGCTTTATTTTGATTAGATTTTCAACCGGATGAAGAAATGACTGAGATCTTGAAGACTGAATTTCAGATGCGATTGCTGTGGGGCAGCAAGGGTGCCGAAGTCAACCAGACGGAGAGATACGAGAAGTTCAACCAGATTTTAACAGCCCTCTCACGGAAACTGGAACCTCCTTCTGTAAAGCAGGCTGAGCTCTGAGAACCACTCAGGAGACCTTGGGGCATTACTGAAGCTTTCCCAGACCTGCTGGGAATGCTTATCATCTTATAAAGTAATAATGTGCAAATCTAAGAAGATACAAGCTTTTAATATCCACAGGATATTAAATGTATAAACTGCACAGAGCATACTTATTTATATGAATTGTTTAAAATTACTACTGATTTTTAAATGAATGGTAATTTATTATTGAGATAACTATTGCTAATGTTGATCAGCAAATTCAAGAAGACATAGCTATGTTGCTGGTTGTTTAATAATCATGGTATTTGACCATCTTAGTTTTAATTCCATGTCATATAAATGTAAATAGAGGCATTTAAAAGAAAAGCACGAAGCATTGCAGAAGGTATCAGTTATATGATATTCTTTTGAATATGAAACTGTAAATAGTCATGAGTAGAAATATATGTTTTTGTCAAATGATTGTATCCTGTCTCTTTAGTATTGACTCACCTTAGCATAATTCTAACTCCTGGATTCTAAGGAGCTTTCTTCCCTATTCCCATATTAAACCAAAAGTGGTTTGCAAATCTAAGGATTCTACTGCAAAGACAGAATGTGAGCCAAAGTGAAATCTACTTCAAAAGTCCTAGGTTCAAACTCAAAGGAAAGTGCTAGCTAACAGCTGGACTGGGCACCAGATGTCAGCTGCCATTCTATTTCTTTATTCTTAATTTTCGAGACAGGGTTTCTCTGTGTAACTTTGGAGCCTGTCCTGGAACTCGCTCTGTAGACCAGGCTGGCCTCGAACTCAGAGATCTGCCTGCCTCTGCCTCCTGAGTGCTGGGATTAAAGGCGTGCGCCACCACCACCTGGCCTCACAATTCTATTGCATGACACAATTGATCTACCACACTGGCTCCCCTGGAAAGCTCTCCAGACACATTTGGAGTTGGGTAACCCTTAGCCCCTTTATGTTAGTTACTTTGTGTTGTGCCCAAAATCAACTTGAGAAAGGGTTTATAGTTTGGCTTATGGTTCTAGAGGGACAGAGAACATCATGGTGGCAGGAAGCCCCAATCTTTTTCATCTGCACACAGAGCAAGAACAGGAAGTAGGGTGAAGCTATAAATACAGCCCACACCCCAGTGATGTTATTTCCCCCAGCAAGACCTTTGTGATCTTCCCAAATACATGAGTGTTTAGGGGACATTCCCACCACATCATGCCAACAAACTTAAGAATCTCCATGTGAAGGCAAACCCTAACATTTTTAGAATATATAGTATTTGCTATAGTCTGAATCAACTATAATATACAGAAAAGGCATATGAAATAATCATTTCCTCTAGAAGATACACAAATCTTACAGGCTCATTTTCTAGGTTTCTGACTTTCCCCAAAGAATGTCTAGTATTTAATTTATATAGTCTCCATTTTTCCATTGTAAAACTTTTGTAATACAAGATTTTAAAGTCTTCTGTAATCAACTATCTAACACTTACCTATTTGTTTTCCTGTCTTTTTTTTTTTTTTTTTGCTTGAGACAGGGCCTCACCATGTAGTCTTGGCTGTCCTGGAACTCACCATGTAGACCAGGCTAGCTTTGAATTTACAAGAGATCCACTTGCCTCTGCCGCCAAGTGCTGGGATTCAAGGCATGTGCCACCACGTCTGGCCTGTTTCCCTCTAAGTATTTAAACCACACCAAGTTTTCTTCATGATATTAAATAGACTTGGAGGACTGACTGCCTGGTTATAGATACTACACTCTAACATGGCCATCTTAAGTACATTGTCCTGGTTTGCTTTTTCTTGTGATTAAAATAAAGGGGTTGGAAGTGGCTTGTTACAACTTCTAGGTTAGTCTGTCAGCAAGGCAAACCAGGGCAGGAACTCAATGCAGAACCTGCAGGCTATAACGTGGAGCAGAAGCCATGGAGGAATGATGCTTACTGCCTGCTTCTTGCTTCTGTGTTCTTACACAACTCAGGACCACCTGTCTGAGGTGGCACACCTACAGTGGGTTGATCTGCCCACCGTAGTGAACTTGAACTGCCTCCAGGAAACAGGGATCTACTTATTAAATAGGGTTGAGGAGAACATTTACCAGCAAAAAAAGATAAAAACTGGTTACCAGATATGTTCTGGCTCTCCAGACACAGAACCAAGATATTTATATAGCTATGGGGAGGTTGGTAAGGGAACTGACTTACTTGATTATGGAGACCAGAAGTCCCATGCCAGGCCATCTGCACATTGGAGATCCTGAAGGGCTGTAGCCTCGCTCAGTCAAACTTCAAATGCCTCAGAATCAGGAAAACCGAGGGTGTGATTTTCAGTGTAGAGCAAACGCCCAGGACCCTGAGAGACTATGCTACCAGCAGTGGAGTTCAAAGGCCAAAGGAGGAGTCAGAAAGTTCAAGGGCAGGAAAAGCATCCACTGTTCTGTGTTTATGTTCTGTGTAGGTGCCCATCTACACTGAGGGTGAATTTTTCCCACCAGCTCACATGCCAGGCTCTGGAAACATCCCAGACATGCCTAGTGATAGGACATTCCCTCCAGTGTTCTAGTGGTTCCTTAACCCAGGCAAATTGACCCCTAACCTTAACCACCACACCACAAAATATGCCTGTCTTCACATACAACTTGAGGAAGAAAAACTGTACCTTTCAGTGAGGTTCTGCAGCCATTGTTCTCCCATACAGGTCTTACAGCAAAACTTTAAAAACCGAGATATTGATTGGTTGTGATCCCAGGTTGGTATATCCTACTTAACACATTTGTTTTGTTAGATAGAAAAGCTCACTAGGGAGCACTTTAAGAAGACAGCATACTCCTTTTACTTTAGATAACTAAGAATTCTAAGATTTTATTTTATGTGTGGGGGTGGGGGGGTTGTGCACTTGAATGTATGCCCATGGACAGCAGAAAGGAGCATCTGATCCCCTGGAGCTAAAGTTATAGATTTGATCAGCAATGAACTGGACCTTATCAACAACCTAAAAACCTTTAGTTACTGGCAAGCCTTCAGATAAATGCTACCCGTGAGAATGTCTGAGTCAAAACTAGGTATCTATGTTTCATATCTAGCTGTGGTGTGCTACACAAACGACACATTAGCATCTTCAATACATTAAAGGGTTCGAAGAAATCAGCTGAAGTCCTCTACAACAGTGGTTCATGATCCTAACTGCTAAGCTATCTTTCCAACCCAACTAAAGAGTTTTCTTACAGTAGATAAAAGAAAATAGTAGTTATGAACAGTAGTTGATATGAACTAAAATGGACCTCATCAAAAGAATAAGTGGGAAAGAACCAACACAGAACTGAAGAAGATTGGTATGACAGGCACCCTCTGAGAAGGCCACAATGTTCCCTGTCCTCTGCTACTAACAGCCATGTACTGTTCCACTCACACTATGCCAGGGTTGGTCACTGTGCTCACAAGCAGAGGACAGACGTTATGTCACACCTGACATTAGGGCACAAAATTAGGTCTCCATCATGGCTCTTTGCTCTCCTGGACCACTCCCTGTAAGATACTACACTGACAGCGTCCCAGGACAGAGGTCCACACGGTAAACCTATGGTCAGAGATCAGCAACGAACTGGACCCTATCAACAACCTAAGAACCTTTAGTTCCCGGTAAGCCTTCAGATAAATGCTACCCATGAGAATGTCTGAGTCAAAACTAGGTATCTATGTTTCATATCTAGCTGTGGTGTGCTACACAAACAAATGACACAATTAGCATCTTCAATACATTAAGCATTCCCATGAAAGACAATCAACCAAAGGGAAAGAAAGGTCAAAGATAAAAATGGGCTTTCCATAGAAAGGGAAACACGGTATACATGTAAAGATGCCCCACAAGAGTTAAGAGAAACCCAAACTACAATGAACCTTGACATCTTTTGAACTGACAGAAGAGAATGCCTGACTCACAAGAGTGACAGAATAGCTGGGCGGTGGTGGTGCACACCTTTAATCCCAGCACTCGGGAGGCAGAGGCAGGCAGATCTCTGTGAGTTGAGGCCGGCCTGGTCTACAAGGGCTAGTTCCAGGAGAGGAACCAAAAAGCTACAGAGAAACCCTGTCTCAAAAATAAAAAAAAAAATAAAAAGAGTGACAGGATGTAGAATAAGTGATCCTCACATAGAAATTATTAGAATGTAAAACTACATACAGTAACTTTGGAGGTTAAATGTGGCACAATTTTTAAAACTGAAAATTAATTCATCACTGTCTTAGTTACTATTGCTGTGAAGAGACATATGACCAAAGCAACTTATAAAAGAAAGCATTTAACTGGGGGCTTGCTTACAGTTTCAGAGAATTAGTTCACGACCATCACAGTCAGAAGTATGGTGAGAGGCAAGCAGGAATAATGCTTGGAGTAGTAGCTGAGAGCTCATATCTGGTCCGTAAGTTGTAGGCAGAGAGAGACTATGCCTGGTGTGGACTTTTAAAACCTCAAAGCCCATCCCCAGTGCCACATCTCCCAATCCTCCCTAAGAGTTCACCAACTAAGGATCAAGCATACAAATACACGAGTCTATGGAGACCATTCTCATTCAAACCCCCACAAACATATAAATTAGGAGTTCCACTTCCAGGTGTGAATTTCAGAGAAACTTCTATGCTGGAAATACACATGTGAATATTCTCAAGCAACACTTGTTTCGGCTAGAAAGTTCAGGAAATACCAAAAGTGTCCACCAAAATGACGGGTAAATTTTACTATACACAGTAAAATGAACTATGTATGTATGTGGATAATCTCACAATAAACCTTAGGTGAAAATCAGTAACAAGAGCTATTAATATATCCATAATACACAAATACGTATATAATCCAATGTACAAACCAAACAAAATGAGTTGTTTTACTTCTCCAATAAACTACATAATAGAACTGCGAAAAGATAAACTGCCGGTAGTATATAGATTGTTTCTCTAGTGGGTAGTAGACTCCTGTTTCTAATAGTCAGGGTAAGGCATGGCCCTCCCGTGACTCCATAGAGGGAACTAACTGCATTTTCCAGTCGCTTCGTCCTCTGAATTCAGCCATGAATGTACTAATGTGCTTCTGTCCCTGAAGAGAGGAGTCACGCAGTAATGCCTCCAGATCCCATCTCCATGCTGACTCAATGGCCAGAGCGTGGCAGAGGAGACAAAGGGGACAACGGGATGGAGACTGCTGATCCACTTGAGTCTTGTTCTCATTCCACACCCAGATTGCACTTTCACACCAGACAATCAGGAAGCCAGTGGGCTGTCAAACAGATGTTGTGAAGCAGGAGAAATGCCAGAGGGAAAGAGGCTGAAGAGTAACAGGCCGGGCAAATCTACTAGGGTTTCCTCTAGTTCTGAGTCACAGGCACTTGGTCTTCTCAGCGGGTCAGCAGAGGGAGACAGATAATATTCTGGAGACCAACCAAGCAGAGGAGAACATAACAGCTGTGCTGTGTCATT